CATCTTCAACGAAATTCCACAGAAACCAATACAACAAGAACTGAGCGAGGTTCCTAGAAATCTCAGATATGGGCAGGTTGAATAGGCAATCAGACAACTACAGAAAAATAAGTCAGCTGGTATTGAAACTCATGGCATTCTTGTTAAATTCTTTAAACAAGAAGGACGTACACTAAGTGCACAAACCCACATCCTAATAAGTGAAATATGGATTACTGAGACCATACCTGGTAAACTTAGAGATCTCTAAGGTTGTAATTTTTTGAAGGCGAGACAAGGCTCAATATGGAATCTACTGAGGGAAAGATACTTGCCAGGATATTATCGGATCGTCTAATCCCAACGGCCGAAGAGAACCTCCCAGAGACACAGTGTGGCTTTAGACCTAACCGAGTTGGTACAGCTGACATGATTTCCAGTGCAATACAAATGCAAGAAAAATGCAGAGAGCAAAATCGCCCTCTATACAAGGCTTTCATAGATTTAGTGGAAGTATTTGATTCAGTAGACAGAGAAGGTCTTTGGAAGACATTAGCAAGAGTACATCCAGATGATAATATAAATGCAACCGTCCTAAGCAACGACGGACAAGGAGAGTCTATCCAAATATCTACAGGCTTTAAACAGGATTTCTGAATGTCAGAGGATCGAAAATATAAAGAAGGATGACCAAATGAATGAAGATTTGTCTCTCAATGTAAATGAAAATATTTGCCAAATTCAGGTTTCCAGCAAACTTTTAAGTTCAAGCTCAACAATAAACCGTTTCGACATGAGAGAAATGCAAATGATTTCCAGGATGGTACTGCAGTCCCAAACAATCCTTGCTGGACTTGCTTCGAACTACATTTTGCAAAATTTTCTTCATTTAAAGAACACATGTCAAAGATGCCATTAAGTAGGTCATAAAGAAGGATTTTGCGAATTTATAAACCAAAATAAAAGTTTTGAGACAAATTATAATTTGAAAAGAAGATGCAGTTCCTATTTTCAAAGCAAAAAGACCAGTAGCTTATTCAGTCATGAATAAAGTTGACCAAGAACTTTAAAGGTTGTAAGAAAAAAGTATCATATAATTAGTTGAATATTCTGATAGAGCAGCTTCAATTGTAGTTACAAAGAAATGAAACGGAGATGTCAGATTATGTGGCGATTACTCTACTGGTCTCAATGAAGCACTTCTACCACATCTTTACCCTGTTCCAACGGTCGAAAAAAAATTTCAAAGTTACAAGACGCTACAATTTTTAGTATCATTGACCTTTCTGATGCTTTCCCTCAAATTGAAATCAATAAAGAATCAAGAAAATATTTAACAATAAACACTCATCATGGATTGTTCCAATACGATTTAATTCCACACAAACCTGTCGACTGATGAATGATTTTCTTGAACATTAAAACCACACAACTAACACTGATGATTTGCCGATCCATGCGCAGTGGGAATGTGTTTCATCATTTCTGGCGCGTCTTCGACTTAACAATACGTTCATTGTTTTCATGAATATTAATAAAGGAATGCTGCATCAGGATAAAAATAATAATTTACGTCAGAGTTCGAGCACCGGATGCACATGTAGATGAAACGAAGCGTGCATACTGACTTAACACTTGCATGAACTTGTGTAACGCTGGGACGCCTCCCATGGGGCCCATGGATAGGTGACGTAAATGGGGCCCGGAGAACGAGGCGTCAGAAATTGGGTGCTAGTATTGGTTTTATAGGGAATCCGAAAAATGGGGCACAGGTCTAGCAGCGGGGACGAGCAAGTGGCCCTTTTCTGACTTCACTGAAATGGGGCCCAAAATACACGTCATTTACTCGCCAAACTTATAATGGAGGTTCACGAAAAATGGGGGCATCCGAAAAATGGGGCACAGGTCCGGTGATATAGGTCTAGCAGCGGGGACAAGCACGTAGCCCCTCTCTGTTTCATAACCCTATTTTACTAACATGGGGCCCCCCGACCGTTGAAACGGTGCGAGTAGTTCGAGCAGGTTGGGTTAGGTTAGAGTAGTTCAGGAAACTGTGAGCAGTTTGGGTAGGTTGGAGTAAGTTGGAGTAGTTCGAGCAGGTGGGAGTAGGTTGAAGTAGGTTCAAGCAGCTTAGAGTAGATTAGAGTAGATGACATTGACAGATGACTGACAGATGACAGATGACGTTATCTCCTCCGGAGGACGGAGGATGCTCAACGAACAAACTATATCTACTTAATAGAATGCCTTTTGGTATAAAAGTTGGTCAAGCCATTTTTCAACAAGTTATGGATACCATGTTATCAGGTCTGAAAGGAACCACGGCACATATCGATGATGTTTTAATATCAGGCCAATCACAGGAAGAACATTTTAAAAATTTAAATCTTGACCTAAAGCGTATAGAAGAGTTTGGTTTTCACTTAAAATTACAAAAATGTAAATTTGGAGTCGAAGAAATTAAGTATTTGATATATATTTTAAGTGAAGGTGAGTTAAAACCGGATCCAGCGAAAACTGGAGCTATCAGAAATATGCCACCGCCCCATGATATCACCACTCTACGTTCCTATCTTGGCGCAATAAGCTATTAGGGTAAATTTATCACAGAAATACACATCACTTTACGTCAACCACTAAATAAATTTTTAAAAAAAGGAATGAAAAACAGAATGTCAAGAATTGTTTGAAAAATTTTAAAAAAATTTGGAGACGTGTACCAATTCACATATTCTTATATCTCAATTATAAGCGTTTGACTATCTTATAGTCTACATTCCATCAAAGTAATGACCCTTGATAATTTTATTGTTATACAGCTTGTTATTGTATCTTAAAAAATCTAGCTCATGTAATCATTGTCCCGCTCCATACACATAGGCCTCGAACATAATTCTTTCCAGCAACGGTATCAGTGACCTGACATCTGGGTTCGTCATAAAAGGTGGGTATTCAGAAGATTATCCTTAACTTTTAATAAATTATTACAACCACATGTACTAGTGTAATTTACGGATTAGTTTAAAGTTTAGTGTTTATCTAGGAAAACATAAACTATAAAATTCGATACTTTTTTAGCTTTCAAGTGATTTTATCCTCGAACAGATTAGGTCGTTCGCAGAACTCCATGTGTTTGTATATTCCAAGGGTCACATTTTAACTATTTATAAAAAAAAAACTTTTTCCCACGAAAGATGAACTTGAACCAAGATTATGAATTTACTATTGATTTTGTTACTGTCCAACCAACTACAACCCAGTTCACCAAATCATTTTAGCCGGTGACGCAAGTATTACTGGAATAGGACCCTGTATTTTACACAAATTTAAAAATGGCACTATAAAACCTATATAGCACGCATCTAGAACTCTTACTGAAACAGAAAGGAAATACAATCAAATTGAGAAGGAGGCATTGGCTTTTTAATATTTGCTGTCACAAAATTTCACAGAATGACTTATGGTTGAAATTTCACTTTACGAACAGAACACAAACCTCTTTCAACTATTTTCGGTTCAAAGACAGAAATTTCAATTCACACTGCAAATCGACGAAGATGGGCATTAGTTCTCAAAGCATATGAATTCAAGATAGAATATATTAAAACTAGCGATTTTGGTCACGCAGATATTTTGTCAAGATTAGTTAGTCAGACGACCAATGATGAAGACAGTTGATTGCTCAGATAAAACATCGAATGTTTTAGAAAATTTGATTCATCAAGAAACTCAAGAGGACAAAATGTATTCTAAAGTTATTCAATATGCACAGAATGATTGGCCAACAAACAAAAAGGATATGTATTGGAAATTATGTACTTGATTTCTATTATAGACGAGACCCATTATCCGTTGTTAAAGGTTGTCTAATGTTTGGAGACAGAATAGTCATACCCATTGAAATTTCGAAATTCTCTTCTAAAATCACTACATACATTCATACTATATAGATTCTTGACAAGAAACAATGAAATCCATAGCACGTGGATACGTTTACTGGCCAAATATAGACAGGGATATTATCAATTATGTGCGAACATGCGAAGAATGTGCAGAAATTTCAAGAAGTCCATCAAAAATTTCTCGAGTAGCATGGCTTGTTCCAAAGGGTCCATGGAAACGAATTCATAAAGATTTCGCTGGTTCAATCAACGATTATTAATATTTAATTATTGTTGATACCTATTCAAAGTGGCCTGAAGTTTTTGAAACCAGAACAATCACGTCAAGCTTCACAATATCAAAATTAGAAGAAGTATATTCACATCAGCAGCATGCAGTCAATTCACTTGCAACGAATTTAAACAATTTGATCGGAAGAATGGTATTGAACATATTTGAACAGCAGCATATTGGCCACAGTCAAATGGTCAGGCAGAAAAGTTTGCTGACAACTTTGAGAGGGCACTTTCAAAAATTAAACAAGGGGAAAGTCATATAGGCAATTACAAGATATAAACATATTTTTAAGAGTGTACTCCAAATCCAAATTCTCCAGATGGAAAATTTCCGGCTGAACATATGCTAGGAAGAGGTTGAGAATTCCACTTGATTTGTTACTTCCTCCAAAAAATATCCAGATTAATGAAATTTCAAACAAATTTAAAGAAGATTTGCAAAAATTTACAAAAATTAACAAGTTCCGTTGGATTCCTGGAAAAATCATAGAACCAATTGGCAATGTGATGTACAATATACTAGTGTTTTATCCAAATAATCATAATATATTAAGACCTGATAACATGGTATCCATAACTTGTTGAAAAATGACTGGGGCATTTTTTATCCAAAAGGCATTCTATTGTATTGGAACAAACCATGATGAGTGTTTGTTGCTAAATATTTTCTTGAGTCTTTACTGATTTCAATTTAAAGGAAAGTATCAGAAGGGTCAATGATACTAAAAAGCGTAGCGTTTTGTAACTTTTTGTATGGAAAGATGTCATGCTAATCAAATTAAAAGAAGATAATATAATAAAGAACCAAGAAAAGTTTTCTGATCCTATTACATTTTTTTATAGAAGAGTTTAATTTGCAAGATAACGTAGAACATAGCTCAGATAAGTGTTTAGATCAAGAAGTTATCATTGAAAATACACCAAATAACAATTTAATAGAATTCACAACAGATAATACAAATACTGAAGAAATGATCGACTGTCAAGAACATAGTGCAAATACTGTTAGTTCTAATGAAGCTGTTCTGAAGTAATACAATTTAGATAAGTAGTCAAGTTAGAAGAACGGGAAGGTTAAGAAGAAGACCTTCGTATTTGGAGGATTTTATTCTAAAAAAATGAGAAATGTTAGGAAACAGTACCAAGACGTTCTGTGATATTGATTGTCATTTTATTTTACTGTTGAATTTAATCAAATCTTTTCAAAAACAAATATTGTTGTAGTTAATCCGAACTACAACAACAATCATACTCTCGGGATCGTGGGATCGTCTATGATGATGATGATGATGATGTAGTAAGAGCCTAATTTTTAAGCTCAAACTGTGAATTGGATTCGCTGAGGAACAGAAACAGAACTAAATAATAAGATTCTTGTTCTTCCTCTTGGAAAGTTTCTTCCAAGCCTATTTAAAGGAAATTATATGTAGGTACAAACTTTTCTAGAGCGATGTCCATTTTCATTGGAAATTGAACATAAAGATTATCTCTGTACTTTAGTAGCGAGTTTCATGATTTTTTTGGTCGGCTTAAGATCTGTTATCCCACTCAATATTGTCCGATGCGGACCTAGAGAGCTTCTTTGTTTCCTTGTTTTCCGAAACTGCTTCCAGCTTTATGATCTGCGGGCCTCCAGATCTTGACCTGGAACGACTTCTTGTGTTCACTATCAAAAAATCTACAAAAATCTTCAAATAAATGATCTGCATCAAGTTATTCAGTAGTTTTTCCAAATATAGACAAACTGTCGTATTTCATAGATTTTTGCTGTGCCATCAATTAAGCATTGAACATTGATTCTATGTCGCTTTTATAAGTAGAACTCTTCAAATTCCTAGACTCTCGTGGTTTTTCAGTGACAGCATCATCAATTTCCTGTTCCTTTCATTAGTTCAATATGATTCCTTGATTATTCGGGCTGAAACATAATTAATTGATTAATCTGTAATTTTATGGCCTCTTTGGTAAATCCTGCTTCAGTTGTTGAAATTTCAGAAGAACTTGTGGACATAGAAGAGGATCAATGGTATGAGTAGATTCCAAAAACATTTCTTAGGTACTGTCAAAGTTTCATCATTTCGAGTTTCTATGGTAATTGAAGATTCTATGTGTGTCTGTATGTGTGTTGGAGGTGTCAGTTGCACCACGACTAAGGTTGATCTATTGTACTCCTCCTTCTGCTGCTAAGTTCGGGTTTCCTGCTCAACGCAACCCCTCCAGTCTCAGGTCCTTCAGGAATTTTACGATATCTAGCGGTTCCAGGGCTGGAATGTCTTCCAACTGTATAAGGCCACTTCCCAAGTTCTTCATCCTTGAGCGACTAACGGCATCGCAGTTCAGTAGAAGATGGTGAGGGGTCTCTTCTTCGTCTTCACAGAATCTGTAGGTGCCACCTTCTTCTAACCCCAACTTTAGTAGGTGTTTCTTAAGTCTGCCATGTTCCGAGAGAAACCCGATTAGAGTCTTGAGACTTTTCTTGCTAAGCTCAGCAGTTCTGATCTTTTTTAGCCATTGTTCCTTAGCCGGTTCTCTTTTTTTTTGAGGATTTCTTTGAGGTGCGCATTTTCGATGCCGCGAAATGGTTCTGGCCCAGTGAAGGGAGTAGACGATCCCGTTCTTGCCGTTCTGTCTGCGCATTCGTTGCCCTCGAAACCTGTGTGTCCGGGCACCCAGAGAAGGAGGTAACTTTATTTTGTTTTCCCAGCTCATTTAGTTTCTGTAGTTTCTCATACTGTCTTAGAATTGATGACCGAGGATCTCATTGCTTTGATAGCTGCTTGGCTGTCAGACATTATTACAATCTCCCGTTTCCGATAATTTCTGGTCAGGTTGAACTGCACGCATCTTCCGGTCGCATGAATTTCCGCTTGAAATATGCTTGGTGATTTTCCCCATTGGCTCCGATCCGAGTATCTGGTCGGTGGCCCGAATACTCCGGCTCCAGTTTCCTCAGCAGTTTTGAAACCGTTTGTGTACCATTTGCTGGTGTTTACTTTAAGGCATTGGATAGATTCCATGTCCCATCTGTTTTTTGTACTTAGTTCGATGGAAAAGTTTTTCTCGAAACTGAATTTATCAACAATCACGTCTTTTGTTAGATCCATGAGGTGTGCACAGTTTGGGAGAGGAAAGTTCTGCCAGGGTGGGTTCCTCTTTGTAGACCTATCTTCTCAAGACTAAGACATGATCCACTGGCAACCAGCGTCACTATTATGTGGAGTGGTGTGGGGTCTAGAATGACTTCTAGTGCCGCGGTTGGGCATGATCTCATTGCTCCTGTTATAGAGAGACACGCGAGTCTGCACTTTTCCTAGGCTTTTTCTAGCTGTTACTAGTTGGATTCAGCTATACCAGGCTACCGCTCTCCATAGGTGATAATAGGTCTCACTATCATGATATACATCCAAGAGAAGTTTAAAATCTAGGGTTATTCAATTTAACTTCTTTTTTCCAATCAAGTCTGCTTCCATCGAGGCGAATGTTTCTCAGGTTTGGGAATTTCATTCTTTTTGTTAATGTTACCAGTGTGGTTTTTGCGTTTTAGATTCAGCCCCACTGTCTGACACCATTCCTTCGTGGTTCAAAGTGCTTTTTCTATCAGGTTACAGAGAGAGTTTTTATTGGTTATGCAGGTTCTCTTAATTGATGTGTCGGAATCTTGCTTTATTGTAAAGGCGACGATGGAATTTTCTAGACCTGGAGTAATTTTGCTCTTGTCCGTAATTCTGGCATTATTGTCATTGAATCTAGAATTTATATACTTATTTAAGGCCGCTATTTTTTTCCATGATAGTTTCTATCCTTTGTTTCGTTATTTTCCTTCATATGCCTTCTTCCAGAGTTATTTGTATTATTATTGTTACGAAATTCCCTCGTTAGCCCGGCCGCGTAATTACTATCTGTACTATTATGCAGAACCGATCTGCTATATAAAACAGTAGGCTTTGTAATACGAAATACTGCATTGCTTAACATTTCTAACTATACTAGTGTACAGCGCGCGTGAGCTCTACATCGTGGTATAGATAGTAAATGCCTTAACACACTTGCCTTAACACAATTGCCTACCTAGTCCCTACTGTTTTATAGAGTAGGTTGGTTCTGTATAACAGTACAGATAGTAATTACGCAGCCCGGCCGGATTCTAAGAATGCAATTGACTGCGCGTCGCGCAAACAATTTGGAGAATTCTATTCAAGTGGGGCGCCAGTTCATGGTCTACCCGAAAACAGCAGCAGAAATGCGAGAACAACTAGTGACCGAAAATTTTATATATTATGAAATAAGAGATATGGATATACAGAGAATGCTGCTCATAACCAAATCAAAAAGCAGCGAAGCTCTAATCAAGGCCCTAGAAATCGAGGCGGCCTATAAGCCGAAGCAAAGAATAGAGCTGTATCGATTAGTGAAGAAAAAGAGCCAATAGGAGAAATTAACGACATCTCAACGGAATCTCTGGAAGAATTACGGAACACTGTTATCAGAAATAAACAAGGAAATTTAAAAGGGGTGATTAAATATTACTGCTGCGGAAGAAAGGGACATTTTAAAGCATGATGGTGGAATACGGTTGAGATCTCGCTCACCTTCTGATGACTGCCAACGTTCGTTTGAGAACTTGCAACGCTGTAAATGCCCAGAACTACCTCAAAATTGATCAGCTAGAAAGAGTTTTTGTTAGAAGATTTGATTGGATGCGTATCAAAAACAGCTGGGATGTGATTAACTGGCCAAGAATGATCTCGATTCATTTTGCGACATTGGGGAAGCCAGGGATAGATCAACGAAATTAAGCAAAGAACAGGAACAAGAAAATTGGTCGATAACTATTGATGCTGATCCAAAAGGTCAAACTTATCTTCATACGGCCGCTCTGCGAATTTTCATGAAGAGGAGTACTACGAGTGCTGCGACCATGATAAGTGATAAGTGAATTTTATGTAAAGTCAATTATTTAAATTAAAGTTGTAATTGTTTGTGAAGTGAGTTTTAGTAAATCCGTGACATATTTAGTTGGATTATTGTTCGTTCCATTTTATTTCCTATCGATCAACAAAGAAGAATAGTTCTTCTTTGCCTCCTCAATTCCATTGTTTTAGCAATTATTATCCTTTTCGGTCTTCATAGGGTTGAATGTTGATAGTATTTTCCTTCATTGGAAAGTTGTTAGTCATTGATTGAGCTGAAATAAACTCACAAATGATGAAGTTGCAAGGTTAAAATTCAGTTGGTATGAAGCTCATAGTGCAAGAATAGCAAGAGAGCTCAAAATGAATTCTGAACATAATTTTTTTGGTGCACTAGAGTTTATTAGGTTTTGTCGTTTTACAAAGAAGAACGCTGGATTTTGTCAAATAATTTTATAGCAATTTATAATTATTCTTCATCAACAATCCAACATTTTTTCTGGCCAGAATTTCCATTTATTTTTTCTCGCTGCTAAAGCAACCCAATTAAGTGAAATTCGCTTCTAACTAATTTCAAACTCCTTTTTTTTCTGGTGCTATTAAATAATACGCAAATTTGAAACTTCAGTGAAGTAATTTTGGCTTATTAGACAAGCAAGATGTTTCATCGCGATACAACTTTTCGTATAAATTTCCCCCCATATAATCGAGTTAATAAAGCGAGTATTAATTTACATTTCCAGCTAAAGTTCATGCTAATAATATAGGTATTGCTTGAAATGTAATCAACTTTCTTTCTAACCAACCGACACACACCTTCAATTTGTGTGAACTTGATTTATTAGCAGAGCTATGTAGACCTGCAAAGCGAAATAAAGTGTCACATTACATAAGGGCTCGCCTCAATAACATTTCGAGGCAGGGTAACAAATTAAGCTTCGGCACACAAATAACAGAGAACATATTTCATGGTGGATTTAACATTGATGGGATAATCAATCAAAATGAAAATCTGATTACTTCTATAGTAGGAGAGGCTTTTGAAATAAATATTATGTTTCTGCATATAAAAAAATGTTGAATGTGGAATCATAAATATATACTTTTGAAAATCATATATACTTAGTGCTGTGCTATATCGTTTTCTGAGATTTTTTATTAAAACTTTAGTATGTTTGTGTTAAGGAGGGAAATTCCAAAGCGATAAGACCGAACATATGAGTATAAAAGATTGATGTTTGAGAAGCCCGATTCCTAGGCTCGAAAAGATAAACCTCTTGCCAGATCCACAAAACGAGCTTCCAGTTTAAGTTCTGGTCTCTCTATGATAACAACTTGAAAATTTCTATACTAACTTTTATGCTCATCCATAAATAAAGTGTAATTTACGATTTACTTACATTTATATCAAACGGTTCCTCTTCGGGAGTTAAAGCAAGAGAACTTTTCCTATGATGCAAAACGCCTCGTCCAAGTTCTGGAAAATATAAAAAGAAAATATCAGAAACGGTCCTTTCTATATAAACTCAAGTTTCACGCTCAAAGAAATCCGCATGTTATATCCATCATTCCGACTGATATAAAAGATGAAAGCGACAAAGATTGATATAAAAAAAAATCTGACATTTTTACAAGCTTGTTTTTTATCGTCATGATATTTTTGAAGATTTTATTTTGATTTCCTTGCCAAGAAAAATTGAAAACAAAAAAAATGTGCAACATTAATATTCATAATGAGACAAGTCAAGTGAAACTTTCAAAAAGACATGAGTCCCCTAGGGGTGCTTTATCTTTTAAAGTTCAAGACACGTTTCTATTTGCATAATTAATTGTGTAAGTGCATCCAAAACTTTTTAGCCTCAAATATACAAATTTATCTTTGCTTAAGTAAATTCACAAAAACATTTAAATCAGTTCAAATAATTTTTGTTAGCTCAACCGTTCAACAAGGTTAACATCTTAAAGTCTGCGAAATAAAAACAGAGTATAGTTCCAATTCTCGTCTCTCGGCTCTACATTTCCTGTTTGGACCCTATTTTTTTTGAGGCTCTAGATAAAGTTGGAAAGACAAAGAGAAGGTGATAATGGAGAATTGTGTTTGGGGGATTTTGCTTTGCTTTTAATATATAAAAAAAAAACACTCCAGGCTTTAAGTTGTTCGTCTTCCATCCTGTCAGCAATGGTGAAAAATAGGGGCTTATATAATCATTCAGGTGCTTTACTTTTTGGCTTCGTAATTAAGGAATTTGTTGTTTTTTTTTTTCAACTCTGCGGTATGATTTAATAATTTTCTTTTTTTGCCTTTTCTTCCTGATGTTTCTGTGATCGATGCAGATAAAATTCCAGGGTTTTACCTATATAGTCAAATTTGTCGAAATTCCAGTCATTCTAGCAGCAACCCTCAACTTTATGTATCTCTCTAATAGAAGGCGACACAGTCAGTGAGACTTCTCTCTAATGGCAGGGCTGTTATTTTAATTGGGATGCTCATTAATAGGGGGCACTTGTAAATAAGTTCTGGGGAGGTGGCGTACCAATGTTGGTATTATTATTCATTCTTTGGAGGACACTTGAAGCTCCCCTATACAAAACCTTCCGTCGAAATTTACCAAAATCTCCATTTTTTCTTTAGGGCCATATTTTGAAAACCATAAAAATTACCGGCATTAAATTTTGTTAATTGTAGATCTCAGTTGAGGCTTTAAAGAAGGTTATTTGGGGCTTCGTTTTCGAGATAATCGGCTTTGAAAGTTTTCCAAAATTTCAGACAAAGTTGCAACTTTGGAACTCAACAGCTCGAATACTATTTCAGCTAACTGAATAATTTTGTTTTATCTTATAGAGCATTTAATTCTGATTAAGAATATATAAATATAAATTAGAATTTGGTTACTGATGGGTATCTTCTAAATTGTGAAATTAGGTTTTTTAGTAACTTTAGGAAGGAAACTCTAGTAGGTACGAAATTAAACCTTTTGATTTCAACATTCATCTATAATTTAGTTGTTTTCTCTCAAAACCAAGTATTAATTTGTTTTAAGAAATTTCATTAGTTTAGGTAAACATAGAATTTTGATGCTCTAAAGTTAGCGATCATTTTCAAGCACAATAGAGGCTGACCTGACTCCAAATTTAATCAAAGACGCAAATTAAATATTCGTTGCTTAAGAGCTTTGAATTGTACTCGAAGAAAATTAGTTTTGAACGCAAACAATCGAAGTTGTGCTTCGATTAAATATTCTAGGATATCCTGCTATGCAATTCATAATTTAAAATTTAATTACCTATACAGAAAAGCAGCCACTTAATCCTTTATAGGCAAATTAATGAATAAAATGTGGGCCAGTGCGGTATAATAAATTTTATTCTATCGTGAATGGTAAACTATTATTTAATCGACTCAAAACTCGTTGTTAAAGTAACACTTTATTTGAAGTAGTGAAATCGAACAATTTTTACCCACTCATTTGTCAATTTTACCCACTCATACGTCAATTTTACCCACTCATAAGTCAATTTTACCCACTTGTTCAAATCTTTTATAATAATTATAGTGTTTTTGACAGAAATCTGTTATGTTGCATGATTGACAACACCAGAAATATGTCAGTTTGTTAGGTACTTTGTCAACTTGTCATAATCTATGTAAAATTTTCGCACATTTTAGTTTATGATTTTAGTAATTGTGATAAATAAAAAGTTGCTCAAGAATAAAATAGAATATTACACACGATGGTAAAAAAGCTTTACCTGTTCGTGGAATTAATCCACTCGCTCCTTCGTCGCTCGTGAATCAACATTCTCCACTCACAGGTAAAGCATCTTTTTACCGTCTTGTATAATAAATAACTATTAATTAACTGTTGCCGAACTAGCGTGGGTAAACCAGCAAAAGGCAGAAATCATTATTATATTCCTGGTGCTTCTATAATTAATGAACAAAGGTTTATTAGATTTTATAAGCTTCTGAAGCAGAATGTATATCAGTCGCCAAACTTTGTGTGAAATTAAATCACAAGCCGATGCACTTATTCGGCGTTTTCACAAAGGCTATACAAATTGAATTTGCAAAACACTTCGTACAAAGGTGAAAATGTTTTTCGGTACATTACGATATATTTGTATTTGAAAAGCTTGTTCCAAACAACATTTTGTGTAATAGTAAAATTTGAAATAATTATTTATTCTCAATACCAGCTTGTAGACCCTTTATTGGTACATTTTAACATGTTAATGTCAATATTTATTAATTGATACCTATACTCGATAAGCCCAAATGTTTGTATTCAGCTTTATAATCGAGCCCATTTCATTAAGCTAATGGGTTTCCAAGTATACCGATGCATAAATTGCACAGTGCATTCAAATAATTTGCATCTCTTTATCAAGGAAATGTGTCGGCAAATTTTATGAAATATTTGTCTGGATCCGATTCCCACGAGACTAAGCTTACCTAAGCTCGAACCTAAAGGCGCAGCTTTTATCGACCAGCACAAACATAGATTTCCGGCCAGAGACGATGATTGCTCAACAAGTTGAAGTATTTTAGCACGGCCTGGGGTTGTTGTTTGCCCAGGAATATTTCGATTTGTTTGGTGAAATTAATATTTTAATAATGCGTGCTTGGTAAATAATGATCGTTTGCTCGTTTTTATTTAATTATAGTATTTTATACGACGAATGAATAAACTATTAAAATTGGGATAATGATTATTTAGTTTATCCGTGTTGAAACTAGGTTCTAGCAAAGGTATGGGAAATAACTCATATTCGTAACAAAACTAACTCAAAACTAGACATGGGTCTATAACGTTCAACGTCTTCCAATTTTCTATCTCCAACCATCTCTGTCAATCCAGTCATCCTCCAAGTCTCTCATTTCTTCCTCTTCTTGGTTGGAATAGTTTTGTTAGATATTTGTAAAGTTTATTGCTCTAATACTTGAAAGTTCTCCATAAATTCCTCCTGAGTTTAACGCTCTTTTTAGCTTCTTCCTTCATAACTCTTGTTGGTGATCCTGTCTTTCTCCTTTAAACTATGTCCATTGTTTTGTCAGTAATTCTTCGAAATAGGTACTCTTCCCATTGTCGCAATTGTGGTAATAGCATCGTTGGTTTTTGTTGTCCAGTGTCCTTATTCGTGAAATAGGGAAGCAGTGTTCCCAGGAGAACGAGTATTCCGTCTTTCTCAATGATATGAAAATGATAATAATATAAGGAACAAAAAGGAAATACTCGTTCTGCCGGGAACGCTGCTCCCCTGTTTCAAGAATAGGAACCCTGATGTTTTTCAATATTCTCAAACTTTTTGTATTTCTTTTATACCTTGGTCCTGCCTGTCCTTTCTGTCTGTGTCTGTCTATCCCCTGTCCTTTTGCCTTTCTCGATTTCTTCATCCCACTAATAAGGTTTTGGTGTTCTTTCAAATATTGTAAATACTTTTTTCGATATGTTGGTAATGCATTCCAAGGTTTCGAAAGTCAGACCACTCTGTAATTTTTGCTTTGTATTTCTAAAGATTTTAGGTTGTATTTTTTAGACTCAATCTTGTCTTCTTGTTTTTCCTTTCCGTTGTCTCTTGCGATATTTCTCCCAGGGATAAAGATTTTTGTTTTGTAGAAGTCGCTCCTCTATCATATCTCTTGTCTTGGAATTTTATATATTTGATCTGTGTTTTGCAATAGTGTAATCCATGAAGATAGAGATTATTTTTGAAGTGAAACTTCTTAGGCGGCTGTCTGATATTTGGACGACAATGGAGAGTGGTTTGAAAAACGCGTCACGAGCAAATTTCGTTACTCGAGAGAGAAGAAAAATATAACGTAAAGAGACGGAGAATCAATCAATGCGACAAATCAAGGATTATAAGCGCAAAGAGAATTGCCTATTATTGTCAAGCACCGAAACCCTTGTGACGTCACTACAGATGCGCACCTCGCTTTTTTTATACATTTGTGTCCTGTGCTTTTTGAAGTGAAACTTCTTAGGCGGCGGTCTCATATTTGGACGAGAATGGAGAGTGATTTGAAAGACACGTCACACTTTAGCAAATTCCGTTACACGAGAGAGAAGAAAAATATAAGGTAGAGGGACATCTTCTTCTATTTTAGGCTTTGAATTTTCTTTATCTCGCCAAATGCAAGAGCCAGGAATAGGAAAAAATTGAGTTTGGAAAAATTGAGACATTTTTACCTTTTACTTCACAGAAAGTGTCTTTTTTGAAGAAGATTGTATTTTTCTGTTTGTATCTCTTTAGAGTGTCTCCTTGTTATATTTGTGTTCAGCATAGCAAAAGTGACTTTTAGGGCTTCATCCTAGTTTCCATGGATGATCTTGAAGGTTTCAATGGAAATCCTATTTATGTTCTTTCCTTTAAGGTCGGTAGATTGAACATCTTCAATCTGTCTTCATAGGGAGTGTTTTTGACTTCATTAGGGATTTTCGTGTTTGAGTTCTTTCTAGTAACTCTATAAATCTT